TTGTAATTAAAACTTACTTTCTATATATTCTGTTTATTTGAGAAGTCTTTAAGCATGTGTCAGAACAAAAGGGCTTTTATTTACCTTTTGGGTCTGTCAAAAGGGCTTTTATTTACCTTTTGGGTCTCTTTGCCCTAGTTCTGGCTCACTTTCCTAACTGTACAGTCTTTCCCAGTCATGCCTTCAAAGAGAAGCTACAGTTTTTGGTGTTTGGCTACAAACTGGAGCCACCTAGGGAAAAAAAAAAATGTGCACTGGCTTCTCAATTAATGAGGGTCTGTGATAAACTTGCTTTCCAGTCACCCCACATGTTGCCTAATAGCATGTTCAACATGTTTATGGGCTTTCTTTTACTGCAGTGAGAAGCATAGGGCATTAGAAAAGAATACTGGACTCAATAGATCAGTTCTCTTACCTATAAGATGCAATTACTACAGTTTGTCATAGTATTGTTGTATCAAATAAAATAATATGTACAAGAATATGCACATTATTCAACTAAATGTGGAATTGTTATTGATTCTCTATGACAGTATGATAATCAAACTGGAATGAGCTAAGCTGCTGCTGCTGCTAAGTCACTTCAGTTGTGCCCGACTCTGTGCGACCCTATAGATGGCAGCCCATCAGGTTCCCCTGTCCCTGGGATTCTCCAGGCAAGAATACTGGAGTGGGTTGCCACTTCCTTCTCCAATGCGTGAAAGTGAAGTCACTTAGTCATGTCCAACTCCTAGCGACCCCATGGACTGCAGCCCACCAGGCTCCTCCGTCCATGGGATTTTCCGGGCGAGAGTACTGGAGTGGGGTGCCATTGATGAGCTAAGGGGTACAATTAAAGGTCAAGTCAACTGTGACACTGGGTATTTTTTATTGTTACTTTAATTTTAATAGATATTAGCTTGCTTTACTAATTATAATGATTTAAAAATGGGAATAAATCAGTTCCTTGATAGAAAACAGTAAGAAGCCAAATAACAGAAATACTTTAAAATATATATATATAATTTACAATTATGAGCAAGTCTCACACTGGGTTTTGAGATTTTTGTTGTTGTTTTGATGATTCTTTGTATCACTCAATTATCCCAATTGCTTATGGTATAAAAAATCCATTTCTTGAGTTTTCACTTCTTTTTTCATACTAAAAAAAAAGATTTAAAGAACATTAGAGATTATCTTTGATTATTTAAAAATTAGACTTACGTACATTGACTGGATAAATATGCAACATATCAATATTAACAGGTTAATATTAAACATTGGCAGGAGGGGGCAATTAGCATATTTAGTTAGTAAAAATATCTGCTATCAAAATTCCAAAAGATGAATGGCAGCATCAGGAGTTACAGTTCAGGGCCATGTCTCAGCTTTGTAGACCCAGAAAACTGATTGGTCAATACCCTGATTGGGGATCAGGTTTTTATGGCAAAACTTAACATTAACACATTTAGTAATCAATAGAAGCCAGGATGTCAGTTGATTAATATTCAGAGTGAAAAATGCAGTGTTTCTGATGACCAGTGTATTTACATCAGCAGTTCAGTACATTCCTTCCCTATGCTCTCGGCATTTACTGAACACTTACTTTCTGCCTGGCATGTTATTAACTCAGTCATCTTCAAAGAGTATACATACACCTGGAAATACTTAAAAACTTCCAAGAGGTATGTAAAGAATCAGTTTCTGCACTCAACCTGCATTTATACTCTCGTAAAAGTTGAACCAACTGCAATCATGCATTTTTTTTACCCTCTTCTCCTCCAAAATGGTTCTTCTTACGTTGTATAAAAGAAAGGTATCTCATCTTAATGGCCCAGAGACTTATTAAATGTACTCTGGTGGTCATTCAAGATATTAATTATTTTCCATTTGCTATTAAATGGCTGTACCTCTTATCAGATTTGTAATGTCGCATATTTAACCATTGATCCTTAGCTTTCTCATCTGTAAAATAAGGTTCATAATCATCACTGTGAAGTTTAAAGAAGGTAATATGTGAGAGTCAAATGTGAAAGTCGCTCAGTCGTGTCCGACTCTTTGCGACCCCATGGACTATAGAGTCCATGGAATTCTCCAGGCCAGAATACTGGAATGGGTAACCTTCCCTTTCTCCAGGGGATCTTCCCAACCCAGGGATTGAATCTACGTCTCCTGAATGTCAGGTGGATTCTTTACTAGCTGAGCCACAATGGAAGCCCAATATGTGATAAACAACCATAATGATGCCTCTTTGAGTATTCATATAGATATTCAGCAGCTGTCATGATACTTCTCTTATTTTTCTATGCTACTGTTCTATAATCTATATTTCAAAATACATAAATTGTTTTTCTGCCTTTCATATGTTGGAACTAGTTTCTTTCTTTTACCACATTTCACTGTCCTTCTGAGGATTTTTTTTAGAAATGGAAACATTAATTCACAGCAGTAATCAGCATGGAGGGCTGATCTCCCTTAGACATTTATTAAACTAGGATAGTTGAAGAATATGACAATGATAGAAGCTTCTACACATTAGGATTAATACCATTTTTGGTGCAGTTTGGATCTATATGACAGGAATTTTAAATAGAGTAGACTGCTCACATTTTCATTGAATTTTGCCTTGAGAATGTTCAGAAGTTTATTTAAATAATAGTTTGGCAGACTTATCAAAAAGATATGATATCTCCTGAAAGCAGTAATTGCTTTGGGCTACCCTGCAGGGTTACCAGATAGTAGATTATGTATGAATTTGCAGAAGAGGCCAGAAATGAGTTTCACATAGGAAACAGAACTTTTTACAAAGGTGAACTATGATTCTGCTATCTATTAGCCCTTCAGTTCCATAGTTTTGTATACATTGTGGATAAAGATTTTTAAACATTATATGTGTTTAGGTATTTCTTATTTCCTTTTTTATGTTCAAAATTTGGTAGAGATTTTTAAGTATAAAGCTGAGTTAAATTTTTTTCTTGGCATTTGAAAGAAAATACTAATAACAGCTAATAGTTAATACATTTGTCCATAAGTTTCTAGGTTGCTGAGAACTTTTTTTAAACTAAGAGATGGACATTTGTAATTTGACAAATGTCTTTCCATGTCAATTGAGATGATATTACATTGAATACAGTTAGTTACACTGATAGATTTGAACACTAATCCAATCTTACATTCTTGGGATAAACTCCATTTGATCATGATGTATAATTCTTTCTATAGATTTCTGCATTTGATTTGCTAAAATTTTGTTTAGAACTTTTACATCTGTATTTATGAGGGGTAGCAATCTGTAGTTTTCTTCCCTTGTAATATCTTTGGTATGATGGACACCTTTCCTTTCTCTTCTGTTCTCTGAAAGTTTGTGTAGAATTAATATGATTGTTCATTAAATTTTTGATACAATTCGCTTGGGAAGCCATTTATACCTGGAGTATTCTTTATGGGAAGATATTTAATAAAACATTCAGATTTATTTGGATTATTTTTTCTAGAGTGAGTTTTGGTAATTTTGGTGGTGTGTATCTTTTCATTGGTTTTATTCAAGTTCTCAAATGTATAGGTATAAAGTTTTCAATAATATTTACTTTTCCTTCAGTAAAATTTAGACTGATGTCACCTCTCTTCATCCTAACAGTTGGTAGTTTATGTCATCTCTCTTCTGTTATGAACAGTCTGGCTAAAAGTTTATCAATTTTGTTAATCTTCTCAAAGGTCCAGTGATTCTTCTTTCATTGATTCACACTGCTATCTTTTTTGTTTTTTCCTTCTACTGCTTACTTTTGGTATAATTTGTTCTTTTTTAGTTTTTAAAATGGAAATTGTAGTCATTTAAGACCTTTTTCTTTTCTTATATAGGTGTTTAGTGCTATAAATTTCTCTTTATGTACTACTTTAGTGGCATCCCAAAATTTTATAATATATTATGTTTTCATTTTCATTCAGTTTAAAATAAAATACTTTCTAGATTACCTGGTTTTTTCTTCTTTAGATTTCAAATATTTGGGGATTTTTCAGATACTTTTCAATTGCTGATTCCCAAGTTAATTTCACTATGTGCAGAGAACAAACCTCATATGATTTACTCTTTTTAAGTGTATTGAGACTTATTGTATAACCTGGAATATGGTGAGTTTTGGTATATGTTTTATGTGCACATAGAAAAAAAATATGTATTCTCTTTTGTTCTATAGTTCTCAGTTAGATCACCTTGATTCATTTCCTGGGCACATTAATGGTGGCTCAGATGGTAAAGCATCTGCCTACAATGCGGGAGACCTGGGTTCGATCCCTGGGTCAGGAAGATCTCCTGGAGAAGGAAATGGCAACCCACTCCAGTATTCTTGCCTGGAAAATCCCATGGACGATGGAACCTGGTAGGCCATAACCCATTGGGTCACAAAGAGTCGGACACAACTGAGCGACTTCACTTTCATTCACTACTTAGTCTTGGTAGACCATTATAATATAATAATTGCTGATTTTTGAATATTTACTTTGAGCCAGGCATTCTGCATAAAAATTTATACAGATTATGTAAATTTAATTTTCACGATTGGTTTTGTGGTATTTTCATTAACCTAATTTATAGCTGAAGAAACTATAACAGATTAATCAACTTGCACAAACATATGTGATATAGTAGGATTCAGATCTGATTAAACCATGCTTGTATCACTACTCCTCTGTCTAGATGCTTAATGCCTGCCTCATATCCAAATGGTCCATCTTTTCCCCTATGATTTAGATCTGTTTTCTGCCCTGACAGTGGGGAAATAGTAGATTTTTTCAACAGACTAATCCATGCTAATTTTTTAACCTTTATCTTTTCATCTTATTTAGCAATAATTTCCCTCATTAAGAGTTAAAATATGTAAAAAGTGACAGGGATCCTGGCAAGCCGATGGGAGAGAGGAGTTGGACACATTGCTATCAGAACAGTTATATAAGAGTTTACTAATTTTTCTAACAGTGAAAGTGAACTACTGTTGATCTCCTGATGGTGTGTTTCCATTATTTAGTGCCTTGCTACATGGGAATCCTTCCTTACATCACAGACAGATCTCCACTTGGAAGAAGCCTCTGAAGATAAATTGTAATCTCGTTGAAGACCTCTATGTGATCTTTGGAAGATAATGTCTGTTAACCAAAGTTATTCTTTCTCAATGGGCTGGATCCTTTCTAAAGTGGATGAAAGGTATTTCACACTATCTGGAAAACCAACAGCTTAAAGCTCAGGTGTTCCAGATCATTGATATAAATTTGGATATACATATATATACACACACACACACACATATACATACATATAAATATTTAGCTTAGTTTTAACTATGTTCTTAAATTTGTATGCCAATAATTATACATAAAAAAGTTTTTTTCTTAAATATTTGTCTGTGGAATATGTCATTTTAAATATATTGTAAAGACTCAGTTTTAATAAAAAGTTTATTATGAAATGACTGACTATTGTGTGTTCTTTTCCTATTAGTAACTCAAGCCTCTGAAACAGATTCTAACCTGAATCCAGTGTATATTAATAAGTATACTGTGTATTCATCTTTATTTATCATAATTTTCTCTGAAATACTGTTTACTTTGATATTAGGAATTCAAAGTAAATTTGCAAAACAGATTAAATATTTTTTAACAATTAAAGATAACTTTGATAGTTGGTTTGCTAAAAGTTAAAAAATTGTTTAAAGGCTACCAAAATAAATATAAATTATTTTTGAGTTATTATTTAGAAATACTCATACAGTCATTTTTCCACTAGTAACTTTATGTTTTGGGGATTTTTTTTTTAACATACTCTTTGCAACTCACATCTAGCTTTATTTTTTAATGTACACAGTGTTTATCAAATTTGTTCTCCCATTTTATTTGTTTTAAGTCACAAGTACAGGTGACTTACGGTAACAAGGATAAAGACACAAGTTACAGTAACAGAGATAAAGACACATTACACCTCAATTCATTCTCCAGGCTCACAGTCTAGTAATATTTATCATACAAAGTGATTTTATATCCATTTTATAGCCATGTAAAAATTGAATATATTAGTTATCTAACATTTGCTAATTTTTGGAAATAGACATTTCTCAAGACTTGGAGTGAAGCTTGAGGTATTCAGTCATGCGTATTACCTTACATGTATGACTTGTACCATTTGGCTGTTGTTGTTCGGTCACTCATGTCTGACTCTTTGCAACCCAGGGACTGCAGCTTGCCAGGCTTCTCTGTCCTTCACTGTATCCCAGAATTTGCTTATTATTTTTAATCATTTGGTTATTAGCATTTAAATAAATGTCTCACACACACAAACTAGACATTTAAATCATCTTAACCAAAGCAAGGAAGCTGAAGCTCCAGTATTTTGTTCATCTGATGTGAACAGCCGACTCATTGAAAAGTCCCTGATGCTGGAATGATTGAGGTCAGAAGGAGAAGAGGGTGTCAGAGGATGAGATGGCTGGATGGCATCACCAATGCGATGGACATGAACTTGGGCTGACTTTGGGAGATGGTGAGTGGTGAGGGACAGGGAGGCCTGGTGTCCTGCAATCCATGGGGTTGCAAAGAGTTGGACATGACTGGGCAACTGAACAACAACAAACTAAAAGAAGAGATACACAATCACTTATACAGATATAAAACTGAACATTTTTTCTTAAATACTGACATGTACAATTTTCAAACCATTTGTAGTGAAGAATCTGCCTTCATTTTTTAATGTTCGGCTGCTGACAACTTTTAAGCTTTACCTGTTTTTTGCTGTCCTGCCCCATGTCTGGACAAGCTGCTAAGAAAGCCAAAAGAATGTTCCCTCTCTCAGCACTCATAGGAAGTTCAAACCACTCAGCCTCCTCCCTGTCTACAGGGACTCATCTCTAACTATCATAAAAACCCCAAGCCAGTCTCCTTTCCCAGGTCTCAGGACATTTTCAGAGAGGACTGCCCTGTTGGCCCCATTATGTGATAACTGTAATGGGGAAGCCTCATTATGTGATAACTCTTTTCATACCCTGTTTGTGTGTTTGTGCCACCACTGGTCTTGACATCCAAAACAAATTTGGGTTGAGAAGCCTTCCTGTTTATCAGGATGGCTCCAACTGTATTGTTTTGCAAACCATTTAGCCACTCCAAACTTCATTTCCCCATCCAGAGAGAGTAATCTAGAACTCAAATGGAGGTAATAGTCTCCAAATAACAGCCTGTTAAATGACATAGAAAACTTAGAACAACTGCCAGAGGGAAGTAGGGGTGGGGGAATTAGGTGAAAGTGGTCAGAAGGTACACACTTCTAACTATAAATAAGGCCTGGGGATGTAATGCACAGCATGACAGTAGTTAATACTGTATTGTGTATTTGAAGTGGACTGGAGAGTAGATCTTAAAAATCCTCATCAAGGTTTTGGTTGCAAGTGTGAGGTAATGGATATTAACTAATCTTACTGTGTTAGTCATTTTACAGTGTATAAATAGATGATTATGTTGTAATCTTAAACCTAATGTTACTTATCAATTATACCTCAATAAACCTTTAGCTCTGCATATCTTTCCTCTCTTCTGTCCCTCATTCTATCCATGAGTGACATCCCACATACACACCACATGCCCACAGAGGTTACATGTGTTAACTTGTATATCTCCTTCCATATGTTGCTCTACAAGATACTTACAGTATCCTGTACAGACTCACACACATACACACACTCCCTCACAGGCAGTTTTTAGCTTTGTCTTATAAAAATGAAATCATATTATACATACTATTTTGCTTTTTGTTTCTTATTTCACAGTATCTTGTGGAAAGCTCTTATGCACTTTTTAAATGGCTGCACAGTATGTCATGGTGTGAATCTGTAGTGATTTGTGAGCCATTTTGTTATTTACAGCTACTTACTTTGCCTCTAATTTATCATCTCACCACAGAAAGAAACACTATACATTTTGGTTACCACTTCATATCTACAGCCCCTCCCCCCATTTCTCCAGGCCTAAGGAATGTCTAATCTGTCTTCTGTCTTTATAGATTTGCTTGTTCAAGATATTTCACGTTAATGGTTCATATAATATGTGATTCTTTTTTTGTGACTGGCTTCTATCATTTAACATAGTATTTTCAAGTTTCGTTCATGTTGTAGCATTGATCAGTACTTTGTTCTTTTTTATGGTTAAAAATATTCTTTTGTATATGTGTGTGTGTGCAAGTGTGTTGTTGTTTACTCACTAAGTCATGTCCGACTCTGTGGACTGAAGCACGCCAGGCTTCCCTGTCCTTCACCATCTCCCATAGTTTGTTCAAATTCATGTCCGTTGAGTTGATGATGCCATCCAACCATCTCATCCTCTGTCACCCTTTTCTCCTCTTTTCCTCAGTTTTTCCCAGCATCAGGGTCTTTTCTAGTGAGTCAGCTCTTCACATCAGGTGGCAAACTATTTTAGCTTCAGCTTCAGCCTCAGTCCTTCCAATGGATATTCAGGGTTGATTTCCTTTAGGATTGACTGATTTGATCTCCTTGCTGTCCAAGGAACTCTCAAAAGTTTTCTCCAGCACCATAGTTGGAAAGCATCAGTTCAGCACTCAGTCTTCTTAATGGTCCAACTCTCACATCCATATCTATCTACTAGAAAAACCATAGCTTTGAGCATACAGACCTTTATAGGCAAAATTGTGACTGCTTTCTAATATGCTGTCTAGGTTTGTCATAGCTTTCCAAGGAGCAAGCATCTTTTGGTTTTGTGGCTGCATTCACTATCTGTTGTGATTTTGGAGCCCAGGAAAATAAAATTTGTCACTGTTTCCACTTTTTCCCCATCTCTTTGCCATGAAGTGATGGGACTGAATGCCATGGTCTTAGTTTTTTGAATGTTTAATTTTAAGCCAGCTTTTTCATTCTCCTCTTTCACTCCTGTCTCGAAGCTCTTCAGTTCTTTTTCACTTTCTGTCATTAGGGTGGTATCATCTGCATATCTGAGGTCATTGATATTTCTCCCAGCACTCTTGATTCCAGCTTATGAGTCTTTCAGCCTGGCATTTTGCATGATATACTCTGCATATAAGTTAAATAAGCAGGGTGACAAGAACAGATATATATTTACACACACACACATACATGTGTAGATGTATACATTTTTGCTTATTCATTATGTTTGTTTTTTCTTTCATTGATAGACATTTAGTTTGTTTTCAGCTTTGGCTATTATGAATACAGCTGCTATAAATATTGGTATGTAAGTGTTTGTATGAACATACGTTTCATTTCTTTTGGTCCTATACCTAAGAGTGGAATTGCTGGTTCATACCACAACTATATTTGACCATTTAAGGAGCTACCAGAATGTTTTTCAAAGTGGCTGTACCATTTTACATTCCTACCATAAGTGTATGAGAGTTCCAATTACTTTACTTCCTCATCAGCATTTATTTTTAAAATTTAATTTAGTTTTATTATAGCCATCCCAGTGGATGGAATGGTATTTTATTTTGATTTGCATTTCCTGTTGCATCTTTTATTGTGTGCCTGTTAGTGATTTGTGTATATCCTTTGGAAAAATATCTGTTCAGATCTTTTGCCCATTTTTAGTTATTGAGTTGTAAAAGTTATTTGTATAATTCTAGATGCAGATCTCTTATCAGATTATGATTTGCAAATATTTTTTTCTACTTTCTTGATAGTGTACTTTGGATCACAGAGATTTTAAATTTTGGTGAAGTTCAGTTTTTTTTTTTTTTTTTTTTTGCTTATCCTTTTGGTGTCATAACTAGGAAAGGAAAGTGAAGTCTCTCAGTCGTGTCCGACTCTTTGTGACCCCATGGACTGTAGTCTACCAGGCTCCTCCATCCATGGGATTTTCCAGGCAAGAGTACTGGAGTGGGGTGCCATTTCCTTCTCCAGGGGATTGGGCAGATGCTTTGCCCTCTCAGCCACCAGGGAAGCCCCGTGATAACTAAGAAGCCATTGCCAAAAGGGCAGTCATGCAGAGCTACCTCTAAGTTTTCTTGTAAAAACAGCCATAACTTTTAGGCTTTTGATATCCACTTTGAGTCAGTCATTACCTATGATGTGTGATAAGGGCCCAATTTTATTCTTCT